CAGTACCTCATCAAATTTCCTATGAATAGTTTCACCCGAGTGCTTGAACCGGTTTTGTGCTTTTCTATTAGATTCATTTCCAGATAACACAAATAAGAACACTGCCAACATCTCCTGAGTGTTTATATGTAGGGATGGTTTAAGACCATACCTTCCAACCAATAAATCATGAAGGTCGTAGAACATCTGTGTGCTCATCCGAAGCTGCGAATGACATTCTCCCGGTGTGTTAAGCGTCTCTAGCAACCAGCCCATACCACTAAGGAGTGATGTCCTAGGTGGATTTTTGTCACAATACAATTCAACATAAGCTACAGCAAGTTTAGCACCAGCCAATACAAGATTCCAAAATGCCATGCTCTCATTGTCAGAGGTATCAGATTCATCGTCAGTTTCATCATCACTCTGCATAGAGGTAAAAAAAGGCCATGCAAGATGACAATTAGAGACAAAATAGTAGCATACAGGTAAAAAAACAGGTGCACCAGAAAACAGTTGCACCAGAAGTTGAAAAAATAGTAATACAGAAGTTTCATACAGGTTCACCAGAAGTAGTAGCACAGAGAAAAAATAGTAAAACAGCAACACAGAGAAGCACAGAGAAAAAATAGTAAAATAGCAAAACAGTTGCATACAGGTTCCAGGTTCCAGTTTCCAGGTTCCAGGTTCAAATAGAGAAAAAATAGCAATACATGACTCCAGGTTCAAATAGAGAAAAAATCTCATTGTGGCATACAGGTTGCCAGAAGTAAAAAAAACTAACTTCCATATTTGTCATTGTGCCTCTTCCTAAGCCAATTGAGCCTAATTTCTCTAGTAGGCAAGGTCATAAACATTTCTCTGTGTTCCTTCTTCACAAACAGCTGGGTGGCAATGTCATGCTCATCTGAACCATATGCCGCACCACAGTCCTTCACATGGTCCATTATTTCCCTGATGGTGATCCCTTCTTGCTTCTTTGCTGTAAATGAACTTGAACAGTCAGATATCTTCGAAATTGCTTCAACCATTAGAAGAGCTGTGCTTGACTTTGCCTTTTTCCTATGAACAACACGAGGTTTTTTATTTGGAACCGCACTTGGAGTGACTTCCTGAACCTCCTCATCCCCCTCCTTGTTGGAATACTTGCCAGCTTGGTAGCAGTTACATTTGGAAGTTCTTCAGAAGTTAAATGCTTGTACTGTTCTACATGCTGGCAAGAGTAAGAATACTAAACCCCTACAAGCAACAAAAGACATATGAACAGTACAAGCACCCAGAAGAACTTGAAGTTAAATGCATAATGCATACCTGTTCATCTTTCTTCTTATTTGGTAGTTGTCGTTTGCGTGAAGCACATGCCGAGGCGCGTCGGCCGTGGCTTGTGCGGCGGCGGCTCGCCCGATCGACCAGCAGCTGGTCTGGACGGCCACCACCCGTCCCGGCCTGGACGGAGGCCACCAGTAGCGCGCTTGCCCCACCCTAGGCGCCGGCGAGCTTCCTCGACCCACGGGGTTGGGGGAGGGAAGACGGAGGGATTTGGGGGTAAGAAAAGAGAGGATCGCAGATCAACGGATCTATCTTCTCCCTGCGGAATGCTGATCGAGGCGGCGGAATAGAGGGCGGCGGCGCGGGTTCGTGGGGAACGGTGACTCGCGGAAGAAAAACCGAGGAGGAGGCAGGTGGGCGGTGACTCGGCGGAAGAAAAACAGAACGAATCGGTATGTTGAATCGGTATTCTTGTGTAATGAGTGGCAGGGGCGGGTAATTTTCCACGAACTCCACGAGGACGTACAAAAGGCTGTTTTCTGGAGTATCCCTTGAGGAGCTCTGACAAAAACGTGGAGTTGGTCTTTAGCTCCATCTTTTTGTTGGAGCAGAGTTCCTGAAGTTTGATCTGTTTGGCTAGCCAAGTTTGGAGCAGAGCTAGAAAAGCTGGAGTGGAGCAGTCCCAAACAGGCCCTTACTCGCGGCCAGATTGAAAGCCCCTGGACGCGCTGCACGAATGGGGGTTTGCCAGTGGCTCCGGGTGGAATTCGTGGTGTCTTTCGAGATGCACTGCGGACATTGGGGCCTTGTCTAGATGCCATCCAAATTCTAAGTTTTTTTACTCTCTTTTCATCACATCAATTTTTAGCCGTTTGCATAGAGTATTAAATGTAGGTAAAAAAATAATTAATTACACAGTTTAGTTGAAAATCACAAGATGAATCTTTTGAACCTAGTTGGTCCACGATTGGACAATATTTGCCAAATAAAACAAAAGTGGTACTATTTATCAGGTTGCAAAAATTTGCAAAGTGAACCAGGCGTGTGATGCGATGGGAATGGGATTGGGTTTGGATCCCCGGGTTCGTTGGGCAGGGCAGACTGTACTACGTGTTCAGGACCAGAAAGCTCACCTCCTTGATGGAGTACGTGATGGCACTTGGTGATGGACCATAATCAATTGATCATACAAGTACATAAGGAGTCGTCAAATCTAGGAAATGTTTTAGGGCTTGTTTAGTTGGCAATTTTTTTTTGTTTTGAGTACTGTAGTACTTTTGTTTGTATTTGACAATTAAGCGTCTAATTATGGACTAATTAGATTCGAAAGTTTCGTCTCACGATTTCTCACCCAACTGTGTAATTAGTTTTTTTTCATCTATATTTAGTACTCCATACATGTGCCACAAGATTGGCAAATGTTAATCGCAACGCTGTTCTAGGGATCACGCAAAAACCAAGCCGTTTGCCCGGCCTCGGGTGTGTTGTCAACTTGTCGTAACCAACTATGCAACTTCGCGACGAAGCATTACCCTCAAAACGATTAGGCGAAATAGCCATATTCATCCTTAAACTTTCATTCAAAGCTTAAATTCATCCTTCAACTATTAAAATGGTCGGTTTAGTCCTCGAATTTGCAATTTCAGTCCGATTTCATCCTCTATCTGATGTCGTTTTTCACACGAAAGCTCACTCCGTCAGCACAGTTCTATTGAAGACAAAAAGGTGATTGAAGACCTCGCATCCATGAATCACAGCTTGACACGGTTGTATTTGCATTCAGCTGGACAATGGGAAGATGTGTACAGTGATCGATAAAGGTTGCGAAAAGAAATATGTAAACTGATGCATGGTAGGGATGAAAACGGATCGGATCGGAGCTGATAATGGCTTCCTCATATCCTAATCCATTTTTTATCGGATTCGGAGCGGATCAGATATTATATGGATTCGGATGCGAATACGGATCAAATATTATGATGAGAAACAATTCATTAACCAAAGTCATAAAGCGGCAATACAACACGAAATAATCATCATCAATCCACCACTTCGATTTAAGAGCTCACAAAATTAATACAAGTTCTCAGTTTAAATTTAAGAGTATAAAACAAGTGTGTAAAAAATAAATATTCTTAATTTGGCAAAACTTTACCTTCCCTCTTTACCGTGTACTAGTCCTCCACTTTGGTAGATGATAATTCTTTCGTCTCCTGTAATTTCAATGTACCAGCCTATAGTTGACGAGCTTTGTTTATGAACTTCAATATAATAATGCTTGTGTCATGGGCCAGGCTGACTTGTATTCTTGCCGTTTGGGCTCTTTAAAATATTCCAATTATTATAAGCGTCGCGCGTTCAATTATCGGTTAATCATATCCGTCAGATTTCGCCAATTCCATATCCTACACCGCATCCGCATATAATCGGGTTCGGATTATCCGTATCCGCATGGATATTAAAAACACTTCTCCATATCCATAAAATTCGTATTCGAAGCGGATCAGAGCAAAGAATTATCTATACCACTTGTGTTTTTGCATTGTAAGTGGCTGTAGGCCTGCGGATAATCATGCAGTGATTTTTGAAATTTAATTATAGTACCGACTTTTCATGGCTTGGTGCTTGATTTCACTGGTTTTGAAGGGTCTTTCTTTCTATTTTTGGGTGGACGCCCTCGCATTTTCTTCCCTCTAGGAGGCAATGGCTTTGGATTTAGAGATACTGGCCAGGCTAACTCGTGCTCCACGGGTTGCAGCACACGCTGATATGTCCAAAGACCTGCCAAAATCTGCAAGTGTGTTGTTGTCTCGTCTCAAAGTGTGTTAACGGAGTGAGCTATTGTGGTAGACGACGTGAGATAGAGGATGAGATCGAACCAAAATTACAAATTCAAGGACTAAACCGGTATTTTTGATAGTTGAGGGACGAACTTGCTTTGGATGAAAGTTCAAGGACGAATATGACTATTTCGCCAAACGATTATGATTCTAGCTATACTTATGACATCTGATAATTATCATTAGGTTCGTCATGAAATGCATTTTCATTTTATACCTGTTTCCCGTTATAAATTTTAGTAGTATAAAATTCAATCATAATTTTAATTTTTATAAAAAAATAAAGACAGACACAAATTGTATGGTGGTAGTACAAGCACACAAGCAAAGCATCACTGTGTCGTGAACACAGGTGACACCTCTGACATTGAACACAAATTATAAGTCATGAACGGGCTATAATTTAGAATAGCAGGAGTAGTAGCTAGCACGACACACATTGGTCCCGTTCGCTCGAAGGAATCTGGACGGTTTTGGATGAATCTAAAGGAATTTGTAAGATGAAAACACTGTTTCGAATGAAAAAAGAAGCAGATAAACCAGGTTTAAAGGCACACGAACGCGGGCCATTAGCTGGATTCTCACACACAAGCACACTGCTAAGTGCTAACAAGCACCCGCACTCGGGCCTCAAACACACACAAGCCCTAGCTATTACAGACTCCAACCTCTCTGGTCTCTGCACTGCTGCCACATGCCCACACACACCAACTGACGAACACACGGACATGCTAGAAAGCGCTACAAACGAAACGAACTCTACACGTTATTATTGTTACATGCCACACTCACGTACCACCGGCAACACACGCGTGCATGCATCTACTAGCTAGACCAGGTCGTGCGAACGCCATGCACCCTGCCGGTGCGCTCACGACCAGACACACTGCACCATGCCTCCCGCAGGCCAGCTCAAGGCGTGACGCCACCAGCGCCCCCGCCGCCGTAGCCGCCGCCGAACGGGGTGCCGCCGCCACCGAAGCCGCCGAACGGGATACCGCCGCCGCCGCCGAGGGGCCCGAAGCCGCCGACGCCGCCCAACGGGCCGACGCCTCCGACGCCGACCCCGACGCCACCCAGCGGGCCCGTGACGCCGCTGAAGACGCCCCCGCCGTTGTTGCCGAAGCCGCCGCCGTACCCGGCGCCCACGGCCGGGAAGCCCGGGAGATCGCCCATGCCGCCCACGCCCACGAAGAGGTTCTTCTTGTCCGCCACGCCGGCGCCCGAGCCAGTGTTGTCGTCGTTCTTGGTGCCGGCCGCGGCCGCCGCAGCCGGGAGCTCGGCGGTGCCGCCGGGGGACGTGGAGGAGACGCCCGGCACCGGCACGGTCCTGGCCGCCGCCGCGGCGTGCAACGCCAGCGCGACGCAGAGCACTGCGAAGGCGATGCTGCCCTTGCTGGCCATGTCTCGACCGGGGATCTCTCTGCGTGTTTGCTCAGTGGAGATTGATCCGGCGTGCGCGTTTAAATAGAGGCGGAAGCGGAACCGGGAGGAGGGTGGCAGGTGGAGAGTGGTTAATGGGAGTAACTGTGCGGCACAGTAGTATAACTGCGTGGAGTAAAAGCCGGGATAGGGGAGGCGGAAAAAAAAACAGTCGCGCTGTGCACGAGGCGTGACGTGTTGAGTTCCTGTTCCGGTTTGATTAGGATTCATTTGGCTGATAAGCCTGAAAGTACCGTTGGCTGATTATTCGTTGAAGAGAAAAATACTATTTATTGGCTGAAAAAATATGGCTTATAAGGTAAGCGAACGGGGTCGGAAGGTCGGTTGGTTTTGTGTGCAGCTGCAGCTGGCGATGGGAGGGGCCACGATGCCGGATAGTAGTTGCCATTCAACTCTTTGTGTCGGTGTTTTGGACCGGAGGTCCTTAACCGACTAGTGAAAGTGTACTGCGTGTCCCTAATCTCGAATGGTGATGTAAATAGACACAAGGTTTATACTGGTTCAGGCAATAGGTGTCATACGTCCAGTCTGAGGAAGCGATCTTGTATTCCTTGCACCGAGGTGCTCGTAGTAGGGGTTTACAAGCTGAGCGAGAGAGGGAACCGGTCCCAGGTCTCTGTGAGGAGTAGTGCGGGTTGCTTGAGATGTTGGTCTCTTGCAGTGAAGAAGTGTGCGTGTTACAAAGTGTTGTGCGTGGCTTGCACGGGTGTGTTCTCTGATCTCTCATGCCTAGGAGCGGCCCCGGTCACTCCCTTTTATAGCCGAAGGGAGGCACGGTGGCGGTACATGTATTTGCCATTGTGGCGTTTCTGTTTGGCAGAGGCGTCATATCCGAGCCCTGCAGCTTGTCACTGTGGCGGTATGGTCGGTGGAGCGGGTTTGTCTTCGGTGCACTGGAGCGACGCGTCGGTCACGCCCGACCCTGTGCGACGTGGGAGCTCCTGTGGTGGCCCGGCAGGCGTGCCTTCTTCTGTTGGAGACGTGCTGGTCACTGTGGGTTTGACCGGCGTAGAGAGCCGAGGACGGGTTGATGCGACGGCGCGGGTACGCTGATTCTGAGGCTACAGGGGCTAGGCCCTGTGTACGACGTGGGATCTCCTGCAGCCTGACGCAGGGCGTGCCACGTACTGCGGGTGACGTGCCGATTCTAGCGCGTCGTTGACGTAGAGAGCCGAGGCCCAGTCGGTGCAGAGGCTGAACCATCGTGGGGGGCTCGGCGGGTGCAAGCCCCGAGGCTACAGGAACCCGGGAGCGGTTTAGCCGAGGCTCGGAGAGAGCAGTTGGCTTTGTGCGTCGATTCCGATGCTACAGGGACCCGGGCATGACTTTCCATGCCGCGCTGTCCTTGGAGCAGGGGTTAGGTAGCACAGCGTAGCACGGGCGTCAATCGTGGGCACAGTGCCGAGCACAGCGGCCGGTAACCCTCGCCCCGTCCTGTCCCGGATGGCAGGGCGTTGATGTGACTTCCGTCTCGTCGGTCACTCCGCTGCAGTGTGCCGTCGTGCGGCTGACGTTGTGGGAGTGGTTGAACGCGTCAGTTGGATGTGACGTCCCGTCAGAGAAGTCGGTCAAAGCGACAACGGGGTTGATGCCGAGCCGGCCTCGAGCGAGTCGGTAACTGGGTGCTCGTCCGAGGCCTCGTAGCGCGGGGCCTCATGCGAGTCGGAGAATCGGTGGCTCGTCCGAGGCCTCGTGGTGCGGGGACTCGGCGAGTCAGAGAATTGGTATCTCGTCCGAGGCCTCGTGGTATGGTTCTAGGCCGAGCCTGCTTTAGTCGTGTCTGGATGTTGTTCGAAGTGGGCTGGGCGGTCTAGCCGGGCCTCGGACGAAACGGGGGTTTGCCTGCGTTTGTATTTTGGCTTCGATATTTACAAGTCCTAAGCAATTTTTTCGGTCTTTACTTAGGGTACCCTTTTTATGGTACCCGACACTTTGATTATCATTTTACATGGGAATGATATATTTTGGATCTGTCTATTTGGCTGTTCTCTCTGGTCACTTAAGTAATTTAAAGAAACAAATTACACAAATAGAACCAAAAACAAAAAACTGAGTGGTTGGAGACCTATGATCACACGAGTAATCCTGAAAGCTAAGTCACCCGAAAATCAAAACAAGCTAAATTTGTGTGAAACAAACATTAATATCATCACTCAGGATATGCAACACCTACATCCACCACGCATTGGGAAAAACAAGAACAAATAAACATAATACAAAGAAATTATTACAAATACAAAGAAATAAAAAAATAATCAAAAGTACAAAGAACAAAAAATTTCTATGGATTGCAAAAACCAAAAATAATCTGAGGACATTGCATGAACCAAACAAACTAAAGAAAATAAACAAAGTACAAAGAACAAAAAATTTCTATGGAACACGAAAACCCAAAAAATTTCTATGAATTGCAAATTCAAATAAATTCTGAGAGCACTGCTCATGCAGACAAATCAAAATAAAAGTACATTCAAACTAAATAGGTTATGAGGACATTGCCTCAATCAAAATAGACCACAGCAAACATAGTCCATTAAAAGTATAAGCTAAACATGTGCCTAATAAACCTGTTTCACTTAGTACTAGTTATATTAATAATACATAGGAATTACACTTGATCAACCAGTGTAAGTGTAGTTCAACTCTAGTAGTGTAAGTACAAAAATAATTCATAGTAACATGATAGTAAATTAATTAAGTGTATTTATCAGGTGGGGCCATTCTTTCTTACTATATACAGATTTTTCTACTAAATAAAATCCAGCAGACATGTGGGATAATTCACCTGTTCGTTTGTTGGTTTCAGCCAGCCCAAACCAGCCAGCCAACAGTGTTTTTCTCTCACAACAAATCAACACTAGCCAGCCCAAACCAGCCCAGAAACCAACCAGCGAACAGGCCGAATGACGCGTTTACCAAAATCCAGCTGACATGTGGGACCCATCACCTAAGCCCTTTTCGTTGGAGTAGTTGTATTACAAGCAGCTTGCCATGGAAGCTAAGTTTCTAGAACCCAGCGGTTCCAAAGAGGCAAAAACACGATCACACGAAGGCACTGTTTCATTTGGTTGGTCTTTGGTCTTTGGTTTAAATTTGGTAGGTTTGGTTTTTGAGAGAAAAACATTGTTATCGGTTTGGTTTAATTTATTTGAAACCAACAAGCTTAACAGTTTGAAGACTTCGGTGACCCGGACCCAATCACGAGTCAGCCACAAAAAAAAAACAGCGCAAATGACGCAAAGAGGGAGCACGAGACAGACGTCGCAGATCGAATAAAGATGAAATCCGGCGGCCACAAAATTCATGTGATGGAGCCAAACGTTTCACACAGGTAAAGGATAACTTTTGTGTATATTTTTGTCAATTTTGCTAAGTTGATGACACGCCCAGACAGTGGCGGACGGCAAAACCTGAAGTTCTTAACAAAGGGTATGCCACACAAGAGTTTTTACATTCATTTTGGTAAATTCATTTAGCAATTTAGTAAATAATTATAATTTATACCCGCAGTTCAGTATTTAAGTTTGAAAAAGTAGTCGTTTGTCCATTCTCGGACGAGTAGACGATATGTTGTCCAAATTCTATTTTGTTGCAGAAGAAATAATTTGTAGTGTTTCTCGCATTGCGTATATGTATGTACTATACTCCGTGCATTACAACGGGGTCAAAAAAACATGACATGTTTGGGATGGTTGGAGAAATAGCCGTGTAACACACTGACACTTCCCTAAAAAAAAGGCCGTGTAACACCAGCGGAGGGCTGCATCAATCGCTGACTTGTCCAGTGGTACGTTTTTGGGCTTTGGCGGAGGCCAATATTTGAGCACGGGCGAGGTTGGTGTCAATCGGCCGCCACTGCCGCGTACATTTGCCATCATTCATAAATCGATTCCAAATCGTCGAGGGAGGAAAAACGATTGGTACGGAGATCGACTCTAGGACAGTAGGACCAACTGGGACTAATTGGATTTGCGCGGCTCATTTTCAGCCTTTTTTTTTTTTTTTTTTGAGATAGGTCAGCCTGCTGTTCTTCCTTAGCTAGGTTTGGATGGCTCTTGTATTGGGCATAGGCCCAACTAAACGCTGCGTCGGCTCCCTCCCCTATAGTGGGCCTATGCCCAAATCCCCGCCGGAGCTCTCGGACACGCCTTGCTAAACACACGTCTTCTATGGCATAATAACCAGAACCAGGGCTCAAACTTGTGAGCTGACCTTAGCGGGTTACTTGCCTTGCCGCTGCGTTAAGAAGGCTGGCCTGTAATTTCTACTGGAAGTATTATCTATACTTAGCTAGATGCTAAGAAATGGGAGCATGACATGGTATGTACTTATCTCTAAACTAGGTTTATGTCCATATGTTGTATCGGAAATAAAAAATAGTACAATAATAATTCAAGTTTGAGCGTGCGTTGTACCATTTTAAAAATATTTTGGATGTGATGCTCTCAACACATTCTATTTATAGCCAATCATTACTATTGCTTGAGTGTCCATAAAGCATGATAATTAGCACATAATTCAAGTTTTTATGTGAAATCGAAACGAATTAGTTCATACTACACTAACCGTGTTCACTATGACTATCTATTCTATCATGTGTTATTTGTGATATACTTAAGATACTCTTGTGGTCTTCCAGAATTAAAAATCTCCTGGAGTTCTCATCATAAGCCAATAGTTAGAACAAAAAGTCGTTCACGTTTGGCTATCAACTATCATGTGCATAAGTCAGGTACCAACTCTCAGTTCCTTATATTTCAGGACGAGGAAGTAATGCTTATTAGTGGTGGGACCGTGGAAGGCAGCATCACTAATCACTGGTGCTAACTGTTATAAACTGTGGATCATCTAGCAGTCGGTCTAGAGGGTAGACATCAAGAGCGGTAGACTACAGCAACGATGTAGACCTAGAAAGCTATCTAGAGGAAGGAGAAGGTGTCGAAACTGAGCCTCCAGATGAT